AATAATAATAAACAAACGAAACAGCAACAATCCACAGGACAAAACAAACGAAATAAAGCAAGAACGAACAAGGAATAGGATAGACACAACAAAGAGCAAAAAGATCAAAGTAACAAAAACGAACACAAACAACAAAAAGGGGAAAAAAGAGAAACAAAAAACAAAAGTGGAAACAAAACGCAGGAAAAAAGGAAAAAAGGTGACAAATAAAATTATAAACAACGACCAAACGGTTAAAATCAGTCACTTTATTAATATACAATTAAAATACAAAATAAATACATGACTAACAAATAAATAAATAAAAACTGAATGAACATCATTTCAAACGCAAGTATGCAAAAGTCCCCCGCGAAGCGAGGAAAAACGAAAGTAAGGAAAGGGGGAACCTAGGCGGCCAATCAGCGGACCGCCGGGTTCCCCCGACATGGACAAAAAACGAAGAGTGGGAACACAGTAATCACCCCGGAAGACGACCGGAGCACCGACCACGATCGCCAGTCGACTACCGATCACACGCACTGTACGGATCAAAAGACGCGAAGATTCAAAATGAACAGACAACAAGTAAAAAACGTGGAAGAAGACAGGACCTACACGGTCGCCATCGTCCCGGAAAACTATCCAAAAATCCTGTTAAGCTACACCGATGTCGAAGACTTCGGAGACTCACTGAGCGAATGTGTAACAAAATACATCAACGCGAAGAAAAAGAAGTCGCAGAACTTCATCAAACCAGACATAGTGAATTTCCACCTAAAGAACGGGGGAATAATACTAGCAAGTGGCACGGAAGAAACAGTGAGGTGGTTAAAAATCGCGATCCGACACATCAAGCTAAAAACAGGATACGAACTAAAAGTGGAAGATAGACAAACGTTAGACAACCGCTTCTTAGTTGAAGGCCGTTGCACGCACTCAAGGTTCAACGGTAGAAACATCATTGAGATCATAAAGAAAAACAACAAAATCCTTGACACCACAAACTGGATTATGACAAGGGAAAAAAGAACCCACACGGGACTGATAATAACAATAGAAATGGAGGGCAGATCAATAGGAGGAATCAGAAAATTAAGAAACAGAATACCGCTAGACCAAGGTGTACACAAATTTAACGTATTAATAGTGGTACCGTCGTACAAAGACACGGATCAAGACAGAAGAAATAACACACAATTAGACGTATCGGACGAAGATTTCATAGCGACGGAAAAAGACAGTCCAGACTCTCCAGACCCGCAAACGTCGGACTACTCCAGATACGAAGACTCGACCGGCACGTCCTTGGACACCGACGGGGACGAATTTATACTCTCCTCCGAACTGGACCATCTAATGAACATTGACATCGAAACGGAACCAGAGAAAACCCCAAAGACGCACGAAGTAACAGCACGAGGCTCCGAGAACGCAGGCATCACACCTGTAAAAAGACAAGGTAAATAATAGAAAAACATAGAAAACCAGACAAATAAAAAGAATAAAAACTGAAACAGACTTACCCACTCACTTGCGACTGCACTTGTAAATTACAGATAGAGAAAAAACCCCGACGACCACGGCCCACGACGGTCTAGACTCCGGCTACAGCACGGCACGCAGCAGGTCGCTCAGCACCATATCGATAAGTCCGCACAGACTACAAAAGAGAATGCAAACAATCATCACGGACATAAAAACTGCCGAAAAAGCGACCAACGCAACGAACACGCAAAACAACAACAAACAAACGAACAACAGACCGACCGTCACGGAAGCATACAACAAAAGCGGAAAAGAAAACGCGAGCAAAACACTGCCCGCACAGAGACAGACAAACGACGAACAGAAAAGGAGGAAATAAAACAAAGACACGAAAACGGAGAGAAACGAAAGACCAGAAGAAAAGAAAGTAAGTAACGATCACGGAAAAACAAACCGAACATAAAAATTAAGAAATCTCACAGACAACACAAACACACACACACGAAACCAAAGAAACAAACGAAAGACTAACCTAAATATTCTTCCCCCCTACAACAGCAACAACGAAACACACAAAGAGGAAAACGTCAGAGGCATGAGAAGAAAACGAAAGACGCAGCAACAAAAAGACTAACAACGGAGGGAGGCAACAACGAAAAGAAAACAATGGACGAAGCACAAACGAACGCGCGGCAAGAAACGAAAAACTGTCTCGAACCAAAGACAAACACATAGAATTAAGACTAGAATAGAAATAGGAATAAGTTAGGCATCTAGACAATAAAAGAGAAAAAGCGAAAGGTAGAACGGTAGGAATTAGCATACGTAAGTAGAAGACGTGGCGAACAATCCAACATAAACTAGAACAAAGTAGGATAGACGGAAATGTAGACAATAAGGAAAAGTAGATGTAAACATACAAACAAATTATATTAATAAAACGCAAAGCACAAAAGAAACAAAAAGAAAACAAATAACTAAGCAAACAATAACTAAAAAACAAAATGTGTACTTCCATAACCTAAAAACCCCGAACACGTCCCATAGCAAACCACAAAAACGAAAACCAACCCAGAAACGAAAATGATAATAAACAGATATTAAACAATAAAAACCCACCTCACGCGAACAGACGGCCAGTGGCCCCCCTCGAAGGGAGCGGCGGGACTAAAATAAGAAAGGAAAACAAAAATCAGAACGCAAATAACAAAGAGAGTAAAAGTAACAACAACAGAAACATACAAACGACGCGCGCGACGAGAAACGGAAAGGAGCACAACGGCGAACCAAAGATAAAGCGAACAAACAGACGAGGAGGACGAAATACCGATGACCAGACGGACTAAAGGCGGAAAAGGTAGGACACACAAACGAAAAGAAACATGCCGGCAGGAAAGTAAACCGAGACAAACGAAGCAAGATAACAAGGAAGGAAACCAGGTATTGGTAAAACAGGAAAGATCAGGCAAAACAGGGAACGGAAAACCAAACTAACCGAACCGACCGACCGCGAAACACGAACGAATCAAAGACAAGCACCCCTGAAAAGGGACAAACACAAAGCACGAAACGAAGAAAACCAAAACAGAGAGACAGATAAACAATAACAATAACACCGACAAACGAAGGAAACTCGCAGGAAAAAGACACGGACGAGCCAAAGAAAAACTGATCCCCAAATCGAAACGAATCTGACCCGAGAGACAAAACAGAATCGAGAGACAACAAAAAGCAACGAATAAAAACAACAAACGACAATAAACAAACGAAACAGACGGAAAAGAGACACGAACAAACCGAAGAAACACCGACCCCCTGAAAACAAAAAGAACCCGAAACGCGAAACAAAAAGTCAAAGAAAACGAAAAACAATAAACAATAACAATAAAACACTAACAAACGAGCAGAGCAGACGAGAAGACGAAAATGAATCGAAAAAAACACTGATCATTGAACTCAAACGAGTCCGACGAAACGAAAACGGAAAAATCAAACGAAAACGGAAAGCAATAAACAATAACAATAAAAACTAACAAACGAACAAAACAGACGGAAAAAGACGCGAACGAACCAAGAAACACTGACCCATGAAAACGAAAAGAACCAGAAACGTGTAACCAAAAAATCAAAGAAAACGGAAACAATAAACAATAACAATAAAACACTAACAAACGAGCAGAGCAGACGAGAAGACGGAAACGAATCGAAAAGACGCCGACCATCGAACCCAAACAAGTCCGACGAACGAAAACGGAAAAATCAAACGAAACGGAAAGCAATAAATAATAACAATAAAAACTAACAAACGAACAAAAAACAGACGGAAGAAAGACGCGAACGAATCAAGAAACACCGACCCCTGAAAACAAAAATAACCCGAAACGCGAAACAAAAAAGTCAAAGAAAACGAACACAATAAACAATAACAATAAAACACTAACAAATGAGCAGAGCAGACGAGAAGATGGAAACGAATCCAAAAGACGCCGACCATCGAGCCCAAACGAACCCGACGAGCGAAAACGAAAAATCGGACGAAATGATAAGAAATAAACAATAAAAAATAAAAACTAAGAAAAGAACGAAACAGACGAAAAAAGGAAGCGAGCGAATCAAAGAAACACGGACCACGGAAAAC